ATGCAAGAAACAATTACTCTCTGTTGGTTGTTAAAGCTCTACCAATGGAAATTAGAGGTTTTTATGGCCTGGACTGGCATATATGATAGCCAGGCATGTTTTTCCTCTTCTGCATGCCTGATAGGATGTCTCATTATTGGAGCTGCTAGGCTTTGCAGGTTGAACAGGAGCAGCTAGGTCACCCGCAGAAAAGCCGCATCACATCCGAGGTGGCGTTTTATTATTTTAATTGGGTGTTTATGGCGTCGGCCTCTCCTTAATTAGTTTAGGGAGAATGCTGGATGAAGTGTGTTTCTTTTGATTTCACAGGATTTCAGCGGGTTGTTGTCTACTCTAACAGTTTCACACTCACGGCCTTAACGTTTTAGTGTTCATTATTATGGGCTTTAAACCAGCTTTTCTTTTTTTTTTTTTTTTTTTTTTTTAAATTTGGCAGATCTTTTTTTCCCCTCTCTCTCTCTCTCTTCAGTATGCACACCAACATACAAGCAGAGCAGCAGCCGGGCTTCTTTCCGTTCCATTCAGCCTCTCTGCCAGCTCTCAGGGATGATATCTGGAAATGCGCTGGCACTTTGTAGGATTTTGTTTTGTTGGTTTCTCTGTCACTTACTGCAGAAAGTAACCAGGAGTTAGTGTGATAAATCTAAAAGTGAGAATCATTTGGTCGGCCTTGAGACGAGCGCTCCAGTGAAGTCTCCAGTCATCCAGATCCTCCCATGCATCTGGCTAACTCACCAATGCTTTCTGCACCTGCATCTCTCCTAAAACCTCTCCTTATGTTAATGTGGGACGACCCTTGTGGTCAATGCCTGTGTGTAAATTGTAATTGGTAAATAGACTTCGCTTTTCTCGTCATTGACTACTCAAAGCTCTTTAACACCGCATGTCACACCTACACATTCACACAGTGATGGTAGAGTTTGCTCAGCATTAATTAATCCATTCATAAAGCAGATGAAGCAGCGGGAGTAATTTGTGTGACATGTGTGAAGACACTTCACACATGAAGTGAAGACGTGAAGACACTTCACACATGTTGCAACAACATGTGAAGACACTTCACACAGTACATGTGAAGCATGTAGCAACATGTGAAGACACTTCACACATGTTGCTGCAGAAGCTGGGGATCAAACCCCTGACCCTAAGGTTGAGAGACGACCGACTCTACCAACTGAGCCACAGCCGCCCTGTGTGGGCTCCCTCAGCACCAATTTACTTGCTGGGAGCTCCCTGTGTCTCTGGTAGTGTCCTGCCAGCCTCATCCTCCTCGTTGCTATGGCTAAGAATCAGAAAATGACAATCAGCTTTACTGAAATGGGGAATTACTTAAAAGAAAATATTATTTTGGGTCAAAATTTTCATCCGTTATCAAGTGGTGGTGGGGTCCATGTTTTTTCACTAGGGACCAAAACTGACTGCGAACCGGAAAGTTCCTCAGTCGAATGAGGACATAAATATACATAAAGAGTTTTTAACATCTTCTTCTTTTTGTCCCAAACAGACCATCAAAGCCACCTCCCCACTCGGGAACCCCAGGGTAACCTACAACCTGGAGGACGGTATGGTCCCAGAAACCAACATGCCAGTTCGCTTCTATTTGACCCCAAACCGAGAGGACGGTTCAGCCTCCATCCTGGTGGCAGAGCCCCTGGACTACGAGACCACCAGGAACTTCATGCTGCGGGTTCGAGCGCAGAATGTGGCCGCTGTACCGCTGGCTGCCTTCACTACGGTCTATATCAATGTCACAGGTGAGTGTGCTTTGCATTTGTTTTCTGTTTTAATGTAGGTGTTTATTCACCCACCAGACGTTCTCTTATCTCATTAAAACATGGCGTTCTTCTCTTGAATGATCTTCCTTTTTTTCTTAACATATTTTATTGCCATTTTATAAGGTTTCGGAACACATAACAATACAATGACATCCTACAAGTTTCCTATTAAGCTACACATCCAACCCCTCCCCTGCCACAACCATTAAAAACAGTACTAATAAAGTCAATTAAATAATAAAGGTACATTGGTGCAAAATCAATAATACAGACAAGAAATAATAACCTCTCTCTCTGACAGTACAGTTGTTCATTTAGTCAGAGGATGGAGTTGACATTCATCAAGTAAGCCGTGCTCACTAAACCTTTTAAGACATTTCTTTACTCGTTAAGGAAGAGAATTCAAACAATGTCTTTTTTACAGTTGGAAAAGATTTAATTCTCAGTACGGGGTTTGACGGACAAATTTTACAGTCATTGGAAGCCCCTGATTGATTATGTTAGGAGGCTGACCTGGTGAGAAGAGGAGAAAATAATTGGACTAATATTATTATTATTATTTCATTAATTTATTTATTTTTATTGTAAGTGTTAATATTATTTTTACTCTATTATTATTTCTGTAGTAGGTGATTGTAGACAGAAAGTCAAAGAATGTGTTTTGAAAGAAGACTATACTGGCCACTGAATTTCCTCATTCAGTTATCCAGCAAGATAAACACGTCCCACAGTAACTCTCAGGACCACGGCGTGATGTTGACATTCTTTACTTATGAGCAATATAAATGAAAAATACAAATACTAACCAAGTACTTGTAAATATCACTTGTTGTACATAACTCCAATATTACAGAAACAAACCTACATACATGTCAATATGCATGCTAGAACCCATGTATGCCTATGAAACTGAGGCTAGCTTAGTCTTCACAACAAATTTCTCATCACATCCAGTATTAACATAAATCTTACAAAAGAATGAGCTTATATCAAAGATAAACTATATTGTAATCTGCAAACTTACAGGTAATGCCTTCTCAAGGGTTATGAAAGAAGGATGGCAAAGGACGAGCAGACATCAGCTCCACTGTAGCACACATGCCATTTCTAGGTTAACTTCCTGTCACACAGGAACTAGAACGTCAATGCCAATCACTGCGCTATGATAGATGACCAACAGGAGTCACCAAAAAACACTGAATAACTGGCAGGGCCAGAACAAAGACAAAGATTAAGACGTGGAAGTGAATGTCATGTGTTTTCTGAGACGCTAAACTGGTTCATCCAGAGTGCAGATTTTTCAGGTCTTTGATGGCAACTTTCAACATAAAAGTCCTGGTTAGTGTTTACGGGGGTCGTGGTGCTGCGTTGTGTTGTGTACCTCCCACCGATGCATTGACCACATAGCAGCCGTTTGCTTTTGAGAGGTTGAAGGAACAGACGACAAATTAGGAGTTTGATGACTATTCTTCTGATGGCCTTGCTATAAGCTAATGGATGAAAACAAAGGATGATTTTTCTTCATTAATTTGCAGGATGGGCCTAATGGACCTTTTTAGAGGATAAATAACAAAAAGCTCGCTCAAGAGCGTCACCAGGCGCCGCCGCGCTTTATCAAAGACTGACTTTTTGGAGCCCGTCGGTCTAATAGCTCGTGTATTACTGAAGTGCACTCAAAGAACACATTACTGACAAACATCCATTTTCAGCTTTTTAATCGAGTTTTTTAATTCACTTAAGTTGACGTTTTTTTTTCTCCAAACATGCTGATTGTTTTTGTCACAGTCCAGACTCTTTCCAAACTGCATCTCTAATATTATATAAACAAGCTTCTTTGATTGATTTTTTGGGGATTTTGTTCAGTTATTGTACAGTGACAGTGCCGAGGCAGACAGAAGAAAGGGAGAGGGAGAGGGAGGGAGATATGTCTTTCAAACAATGGTTTCCAGCTGGCATCAAAGCTGTGACAGTTGCCATCTGTGCTGCGATGAAGCATCGCTGTAACCGTTCGGCTGCCGAGGGGGCTCCCGACACAGCACTTCCTCCAAAAATTAGCCCGTTGGCAGCGGAAGAATCCAAAGCGGAATAATCACATTGTGTTGCTCTCTGGTGTAATCAGCTGGAGTCCTTGAAATCTCAGATTACTAAACTGCACATTTCCAAATAGTTTGCAAAACTGAACCTTAAACCAACGAGCTAACTCCTCTGAACAGACATGACTTCATACAGTCAGAATCTCGCTCTCCTATCTGTGGCATTTTCACCTCTTTTTAGAAAAAACAATAGATTGCTTTAGTCTGAAGTGGTTTAATGTAGTTCTAAGCCTCAGTAACTAGTCTTATATCACCACCACCATTACTGTTAAATGGTCGTGTTTGCTCACCCCTGACCTCGCTTCTCAGAATTACACTGCATACACCACATGCTCAAAGCTCCCCTGCATTTAATCCCCTTACAGCATGTACACACACACACACACACACACACACACACACACACACACACACACACACACACACACACACACACACACACACGTATTTCACACATTAATCCAGTGAGAAATAATTAATTCAGACTCCCTACCTTCTCCATCCCACTCCTAACTTTCCTCTCTCTCCCCACTGTCGCTCGCCCCTCCTCTCTCTTATCACTCTTAATAAGAAAGCTCTTTGACTCCTCCAGAGGCACTAAGCAGAGGGAGGAAGGGGGGGGTGGGGGCTGTAATGGATTTAAGACTCCATTTTTAATTCATAGATTAAGACATTTGCTCAGAAGAAAGGGAAGGAAATAAAATGGCACATGGAGCAGCGTTGGATTCAAAGTGTGACTCCCTTCAAGTTACTTCTGCAAGGCTCTCTGCTCTTCAGGCTAACATGTTATTAATGTTTCTGTTGATACCATTTTATGATAATAAAAAATGTCATCATGTAACAGAGTGTTACATAAGTGTGCATAGATTGATATCAGATGAGGATAATAACACAGTAAATAATAATACAAAGCGAGTACACTTCAAGAACATGTTCACTGAGAGTGATGCCAGTAGACATTTTCACAAACGGAGTCCACCAACTCGGGCATGTCTATTGATTGGAACTTAATGCACATGTGTGAAGAGCCTATGTGCACAGAGGCACTACCTAGTCCCCAACGCCCAGCCACCACCATCGGACTGTGTCGTCCCCACAATCACCGCCGTCCTCATTCATGCACGGCCTGCTCCGACCTCCACCTCAGCGGCGAGGAAGTGTGGACAACAGGAATACAAAGGAGAAATCCTTCCTGCATATTGTTTCATATGCCCCTTTTGTAAAGCGTCTCGACTTGTTGTGAATTGGCGCTATGCAAATAACGACTGATTGATTGATAGACCTAGAAGAGCGTGTTGCCAGTTTACACGGCGACCGAAACGCTCCAGGATGACGGGAAGGATGGTCAAACATCCACCATCTAGTCCAGGATCCTGACTGGCAGCATCATACAACGGACTCAAAGCTCATTGACGAACAAAAGATGATTATTGCACATCATTTAGATCTAAACAACCCTGAAAATTCACAGGACTCAAATTGATTTAAAAGAAAGACACATAAACACAAAGTTATCGTTCTAACCGACCTGTTTCAAACTAACGCAGAGGTCCGTGTTGGATTTAGGTACCTGAGGCTATGCATAAAATATGAAAGCATTCAAAGTCTTATCAGATAACAAAACAACGCTCTGCATATTAAACTACCTTCATGTTTACAACCCAACTGGACGATTATCATACATGCACTTGTTGTATCTTTTGTCACATGATTGTACGGTAAACAGGAGAAAAACTACAGCTTTTGTGTCACAAAGAAATGCACGAGGAGAGAGCACCTGCCAATATCTGCTCGGCCAGAGTCGAGCCTTGTTGAGTGATGCTTTGTTGCATTCTGGCAAAAGCTTAAATGATTATTTTTTGTATTTCTGAAAGCCAAAGAGAGAAAAGGGAACATGAGGAGAGAGTGGGGATAATAGGAGCCCAGTCGGAGTAAACATTTGCTTCCTTTATTAAGTTGCTGTAGCTTACATTTGGTTAGTTTGAATTTTTTTAGCTTAAAATCATGAATGTAAAAGGCATCCCAACAATGAAAGGTTTTTTAAATATAATAAAAAATATCTTAAAATGAATTCTGACATACACGACGTCAGTGCAGTGGAGTCAAGGAATGGGGAGCTTTTCCCAGAAACCATGATGGTGCTGACACTCAGGAGCCCTGAGAGTGAAACCAAATGCAATCGTTTAAATATAATGTCAGCAATGGTTCACAGTCGCATGAAGCAGGAAATAGTTGAGGACCAAAGCAGTATGGGGCCGGCTCTTTTACAATCACCATGAGAGTGAAAGCAAAATGTCTGACACAAACAGCATGAATAAAACGCATGGTGATGAGTAATATAAGAACATTTTGGGCCAATCGCACAGACACACGCCTCTCGAAGCGCGTCGCCAGCAAAACCATTATTTTCATATGGTATAGCGCTGCGATTTAAATTTAAATATTCTCAACTTTTCAGCCCAAGGCACGGTCGCACCGCTGGTCAATGTCACACTTGGCACAGGCAGCCAATCAAATCAATCGAGAGGCGGGCCTAACTACTTTATCAATTCCTCCCCAACGAAGAAGAAGAAGAATGATTAGCGAAAGTAGGACTGGAAGCGCCCGTCATCCAGACACAACTCCAAAAGAAATGTTTTTTTTTCTTCCCCCCCCCCCCCCCCCATCCAATAGGACAGCAACGGCAAGAGCCCGGTCCATTTTCCGTTACCATTATAAAACCATGCTGTTATTCCCGACACGCTTTTAAGGACTTTTTGAGCGGTGTGATTACAACCTCATCTAGACTCCAATCTTACATTTTCCTTTGGCCTATTCAGACGGGGTTTGTTCTGTACAGTGAAAAAATATGAAGTTTTTTACAGATCAGCTCAGTCTGGGCTCTTATATTGAATTCACAGTTTCTTCTGCATCACTAGTAATGAATCCCATCACGCTGTAACATCCGGAGTTCACACAGGTGAATCCTATGAAAGGGCTCTGAAAGACTTTTCAAACTTTACTGGACAAAGTGATTGTTTCCAGGTAAAGATGATGGATCTCCATTTCTTATGCTTGGGGGATGACTGGGTCGCCGGGTTACAACTTGGGCCTACATCATCATCACGATAATGCATTGAAATAAATTAATGATGTCTGGACGAGCAAATCCTTCGGAATAACCATAACTCATAACCCTGAACATAATCAGAGCCACTGAAAGGTTTCAAATATACATAACTGTGAAATGGGACAAGGTTCAGATGAAGGTCTAATGAGAGAGAAGTGATTCATATGCGTCACAGACTGGGTGTTACATTAGAGGTGTTATGTGAACTTTCATTGACTTACATTGTTAATGCTGTTCTGAGGGGTTGGGTGTAATTTAGACTTGTCCCCCACTAAGGACTTACAAAGTCGAACCTGATTCGTTGACTGAATGTCGAATGTTGTTGTTGATGTTTTTCACTCATTGATCCACATTCTGAGTTCAGTTTACCACATCAATTCAACTATTTGACTTTCTAGACTTGGAATAAAACTTACCATGTGTAGAGTCACTGAACTCTCCTGATCACACTTATCCACCAAAAACAAGTCCAATTTAAATCTAGTAAAAGATTGAATCCAAACACAGATCCATTTATCTTTATCTTTAACGATCAACAGGCTGCTCCAAAAGTACCTCTGACCTTTTGTTGACACCTCATAACAGCCAATGGGAGCCTTTGTTGAAAGGAGGAGCATCTCTTGTTGCAATGAAATTCTCTAAACATGATTACGCTGCTTATCTCAATACTTTGGGGTGATTTATTCATGCACTCACTGAGGAGATTGATTTAAAGTACGAGTTGTTTTCAGAATTGCATTAAAAGTATGGTGACATTTATCCAAGATAGGCTATGAGTCATGAATTATTGGGAGAAAACAGACAAATCTATGTGAACCCAGACATTAAAGATGCACAATGTGGATTTTGTAGTGACATTTGAAAGTTGGAGAAGTGTAATAATTCTCTGCTATATTTTCTGAACTAAATACACAAACTTTATTCAAAGGAAAAAAAACTGGGTTCATTGAAGAGTGGAGCTAAAAAGCGACCAGGAGAGTTACGGTCCCCCCACCATAACTTCTGGCATAGCATTTCATCTTCAAACAGTGTAACAGGGACAACATTTTCCTCTGAGGAAAGTTTGTGTATAGAGTTATGAACATATACCACATAATCCGTACACTTCTCCAACTTTCACATTTCTCCTCCAAAACTCTTTCACCCTCACAGCTGGAATGGAAGGATCCTTGAGCCCGACTGTGAGACTGGCAGTCGACTGAGGCTCTGATGGACGAATCGTGGAGTTCTCGACTTTATGGGGTCACCCCTACTGAAATTTAACCAGTTGCTCAATTATAATCATTTTTTTTAAGACGATGTTTGGAAAATATATGAAAATACCAATAATTGATAGTGTCTTCAGCTCCATCTTTATGTTCTTTATATTATGTATTTTGAATAACGAAAAATTTTTTCTCAAAAATTAAAGTTCTAATACAGCAAGAGAGTAATTGTTTAGCTGAGTGTCTGAAAACGTGTTGTTGTTTACTGCCATTTAAGCGTCTCTACAGGTTTGTTGAGGTGGACACATTCTTGGGTGTCTAAGTGGAGTCTCCTAAATTGCAAAGATAGTCAATAAACAAAGATAATTGAACAGCAGTTACTCTTATAATGATGTGCATGAGCTCGCTAATGAGGCCACACTCCGGTTTCCAAAAATGAGGAGCGAGCTGTTGACTAGAAATAGTACATCAAATACATTTCAAGGACGTCCAACCATCATCTGTTTTATTCATAAATTTGCCACCAAACACCGATTGATGGTGATAAGCAGGCTGGGAATATGGAGGGATGTTCTGTCTTTGTCATGCAGGCTTCTGAGCTCTGGAAGGACGGCATCAATCATCCTCCATGTTTTTAGAAACTAATTTCTTTGATGCATTTTGGTAACAGTCTCTCTTCGTCCTGTCTTCTGTTCTGCAGATGTAAATGACAACGTCCCATTTTTCACCTCCTCCATCTACGAGGCGTCCGTCACTGAAGGGGCAGAATCAGGAACTTTGGTTTTCCAGGTTTCGGCCAATGACCTGGACCTGGGTCTCAACGGCAAGGTGATAACAAATTCACACACTCAGACAATAACTGTGGGGAAACAATGGTTGTGATTGTGTAATTTATTTATTTATTTATTCCTTTGCTGTGGCGGTGCAGTCGTAATGAACGTACTGTTCTAACAACTGATCCCTTACTCCTTCTCCCCAGATCTCCTACTCCCTGCTGGAGGATCGCAGTGGTGACCACCAGTATTTCCGGATCGACCCAGAGCTGGGATTTATCTACTCACAGACGGTGTTTGACCGAGAGACCAAAAGCTCGTACCTGTTGGAGGTTCAGTCTGTGGACGGGAGGGAGTCATCGCGGCCCGGCAAACATGGACAACCCAACTCCGGTAAAGAGGGCCTGATATTCCCCCGCCTGCGACTGATTGAAGGGTTTATTAGTTTGGCGTTATTAGTTTTGGTTGTGTTTCGCCTGCTTCCCAGTGTTGATTCAATGAATCCATCTGTAAAGCAATCCAGCACAAGCTGAACCTCCTTTATGCTAACAGGCTAACTGTAGCGTTACACTGATAATGATGCTGGCCTTTACGTCGCCTGGTAAGACGCCATCTTTGTTGTCTGGCCTTAATCTTCTTCTTACTGCCACCTTCTGGACTAGCGGTGTAGTGCAGTTACTTTCTTTGCTTCTCGATATATCTTCACCCTGAGTTGCATAAACTTCCTGGGGCTTCAGGCAACGATGGAAGTGCTGACAACAATTAGCCACAGGAACCTTTTAGTTTGCTGAGGAGAAGACCCCCGGGAACTGACCTTTGGTTGAAAAGGGGCTTAAGTGCGGGCTGAGGAGGCGCCAATAGATAGCTCTTTTTTTTGGTTCAATAAACAAATAGGTCCATTTTGTACAAAACATTTCTCAGTGCAGCATGAAACATGGGGACATTATTGGCGGCGAACATAAATGAAATGCTTTAAATTCCATCTGTTTTAGAGTTTAAATATGGAGATGTTTTGTGAACTGAAAAAGATGACAAGCACTGAGGGGGGGAGAGAGCTGCAAACAGCTGCTCTGCAGACTTCATTTAAGGCTCCAAATCTTCAACGAAGGCAGCAATAATTCTGTTTTCCTTTTTCTGTCTGTTTCCCACATCTGCTCCTCTCTCCCCATTGAAGGACCAAGGGCCATTTTTCTCTTTTAGTCGGCCTCTGTTGCTCGCTCTCTGCCTCCTTCCACCCATTTCTCTCTCATTTGCTGCCAGATGAAATGCATACATGCTCCAGCGGTAGAATAGAGACACACACAGAGAGGAGAGCAGATGCTGAGGCAGATGGATGGATGGATGGATGGAGAGAGGTGTTGAAGAAAACAACGGGACAGCTCAGGATGTATTTTTAATAAATCTGATCATAGATTATTAACACGTCTCCTCTCTAGATTTGTCTCACTGTGACATTTGTGGCTACGCAAACACAAGTTAAATATTAAGCAGCGCAGAGTCCGCAGAGAAGCTCGGGGAGTTCGTTTCTTTCATTTCTTTTATTCCTGTGCCATGAATATTGAACGAGTTGGCATGAAAAAAGGATGGGT